AAGCCTAAATAGGGCTCTCTTTACAGAAGTGTTTATGGAAGGCTGTGCAAGTCACATGCAGGGAGGTGTGACTAGGGTTCATAAACAAAGGGATTTAACTCCTAAATGGCAGAGGATTGAGCAGTGAGGCTGCAGGGGCATATTCTATACACCAAAACTGCTTCATTAAGCTAAATTTGTTCAGGTGACTATAGTGTCCCTTTAATCAACAAGCATATACTATTAAACAGAGATTGATGAATAGCTTGAAAAAGGGAAAAAAATGCCCACAATAATTGATAAAACCAGCCAAAAACTTAAAAAAGCTAGTAAAACCCAACAAACTTTGACATGTAGAGAGTTCATGACTAGAGTTGAGCAAACCCGGACTGTAAAGTTTGGGTTCGTACTGAACATTAAGTTTTTTGGACCCCGGACCCGAACACGGACATATCAGTGTATGTTCGGGTTGGAGTTTGGTGTTCAGCGATTTAATGGCCCATTTTGAAAGGCTGCAGGGCAGCCAATCAACAAGCATTTGACTCGTGTGTTCTTAGAAGCCATCACAGCCATGCCTACTAATGGCATGGCTGTGATTGGCCAGTGCAGCATGTGACCTAGCCTCTATATATAAGCTGGAGTCACGTAGCGCCGCATGCACATGAGCTCTTATTAGAGTAGGGAGAGGATGCTGCATCTGTGAGGGACAGATTAGGAAATAATTCTGGTGTTGAATGTGCAAACTACAGCGATTATTTTTGTGGGTGCAATAATACTACATTTTTGTACCCTTCCCTGAGCCCAGTGCCACAGAGAGTGCAGTGCACTTGCAACTGCATGTGTGCCAGGCACATTACTTTAATCCTGTTCTGGTAGCTCAGTGGGCAACATCTAGGCATTTATAAATACTGCAATTTGTTTGGTGCTAAATAGTACATTTGCGTACTGCATTTCTTGCAGTCCAATAAAACCCTTAAATACTACTGTTACATTGTTGGTTTAAAAAAAAAAAAACTTTTTGGAACTAAAAAGAACATTTGCGGCCTGCGGTGCACTTCATATCTGAGAGTCAAATAGAACCGTCAAATACTGTGCTTACAGCGCAGTTTTAAAAATTCAAATTTTTTGGGTGCTAAATAGTACATTTGCAGCCTGCGGTGCACTTCATATCTGAGAGTCAAATAGAACCGTCAAATACTGCTGTGACATAGCAGTTTTAAAATTTAGAATTCTTTAGGTGCTAAAAAGTAAATTTGGGGCCTGCACTTCATATCTGAGAGTCAAATAGAACTGTCAAATACTGTGGTTGCAGTGCAGTTTTAAAAACAAAATTTTTTTTGCTGCTAAATAGTACATTTGCGGCCTGCGGTGCACTTCATATGTGAGAGCCAAATAGAGCCGTCAAATACTGTGGTAACAGTGCATTTTTAAACATTCAAATTCTTTAGGTGCTATAAAGTAAATTTGGGCGTGCACTTCATATCTGAGAGTCAAATAGAACCATCAAATACTGGGGTTACAGCGCATTTTTAAACATTCAAATTCTTTAGGTGCCAAATTTTACATTTGGGGCCTGCACCTCATATCTGAGAGTCAAAAAGAACCGCCAAATACTGTGGTTACAGCGCATTTTTAAAAATTCAAATTCTTTAGGTGCTGAATAGTACATTTGCAGCCTGCACCTCATATCTGAGAGTCAAATAGAGCCGTCAAATACTGTGCTTACCGCGCAGTTTTAAAAATTCAAATTCTTTAGGTGCTGAATAGTACATTTGCAGCCTGCACTTCATATCTGAGAGTCAAATAGAGCCTTCAAATACTGTGCTTACCGCTCCCGATAGCCAAACAGGAGATGGGGCAGGAATCTCTCTCAATCCTTGTGAGTCGCCGGAAAGGTGCGGAGCATTTTCTTCAACGTACTGTTGAAGCGCTCACACAGGCCATTGGTCTGGGGGTGGTAAGGGGAGCTCGGGATTGGTTTAATGTGCACAATCTCCACAGTTGGTGGGTCATTTCGGCAGTAAACTGGATGCCCTGGTCTGAGAGAATCTCCCGGGGAAAACCCATCAGGGAGAACACTCGCATCAAGGCTTCAGCCACAGTCTCTGCCCGAATACTGCTCAGGGTACCGAGTCGCATAGTCCACGATGGTCAGAATGTACTTCTTCCCAGAGGGACTAGGCTTGGCTAGGAGACCTATAATGTCGACAGCTACTCTGCCGAACGGATCTTCACTAATAGGTAGGGGATGGAGGGGGGCCCTGTGCTGGTCCCTTCTCTTTCCCACTCTCTGGCAGGCATCTTGCAGTACTGCTTCAGATCCTGAGAGATGACTGGCCAGAAGAAGCTTTGGGTGAGCCGAGACGCTGTCCGGCTCCTGCCCAAAGGCCCTGCCAAGGGGATATTGTGAGCTAGCTTCAGCAGCTCATACCAATACTTCTTGGGTCTGGGCCTGGTGGTCTCTCGCCAGCCGTGTCGTTGGGGAGCCCATTGAAAAAGTGCTCTAGCATGACGAGCTGGGTGAGCTCCTCCGGGAACTTGGCTTGATGGGAGTTGAGCCAGTTCTGGGTGGCCCATGTGATGCAGCATGTCCACTCTGCATGGGAGTCCTTCTCCCCTTTCCGGGTCTCCCTAAACTTTTGGCGGTATTGCTCGGGGATGACTGCATACCGGGCCAGGATGATTTGTGTAATAAAGGGATAGTCTCTGATCTGCTCTTATGGTACAGCCTGGTACATATCCGCTGCCCACCCCACTAGTCGCTGCCTTCTTCTGCTTCCTTGAACTCTTTGAAGGCATTGTATGGTAGCTTGTGGGCCAGGGTGGTTGTGCTTCCCGGCGCCCTCTGCTTCCTTCTTCCTTCATCTGGGTTCATGGAGGTCACCCTCTGTCTATTGGCAAGGACACTGTCTTGCACCTCCAAAACGGTCCTGCTGACGATCTCCTCTGAGGGTGGCTCTCGGTAATATGCCAGGCACCGGTCCACCTCCTTGCGCACTTCCTCCTCATCTCCGGCTCCTGGCTGGGGTTCATTACCTCACTGCTAGACATGTGCAATTCGTTTCGGGCCGAATATGAATTCGGACAAATTTCGGTCAATTCGGACATTCGGGTACTTCCGAATAGCCGAAGCGCCGAATTACCGAGGTCCCGAAGTTCAGAAATTACTGAATTTCCGAAGTGTCGAAGTTCCGAAGTACAGTATTGCTTAAGTACTAATATACTTACCCAATGGAAGAAGAATGTTACACTGTATACAATTTTAAATAAAAAGTATACAAACATAGCCACGATTCAGCTGTAAGCATTTGCAACACTTACAACAATCAAGTAACATACATTCATATAAAATGTTACTTAGCCAGTCATGTAATGACAGGAATGAATAAGTAGATAACTCCCTAATTCCCACGGTATTAGGGAACTATCTACTAAAAGGCTGAAAGACCTAAATTGGTCTTTCACCAAAATTTACTAATACTAAGTAAACATTACTTAGTATTAGTAAATTATGCCCCTACTCGCTATACCGCGAGTAGGGGCATGTCTATTAAACAGTGAGCAGACTGTGGCAAAAAATGGCCCCCCTCCCCCTCCTAACATGAAGGGGGGACCTACTGCCCCCCCGGCCCCACCCCTGAACGGCGGGTGGGGACCCTAAAGTTAAATAAGGGGGGGACCTATTGTCCTCCCCCCGGGCCCCTCCCTTGAGCGGCGGGTGGTGGCCCTTAAGTAAAGTAATGTGGGGACCTATTGTCCTCCCCCCTGGCCCCCACCCCTGAGTGGCGGGTGGGGGCCCTAAATCAGAATAAGGGGGGAACCTAATGTCCTCCCCCTGGCCTCCACCCCTGAGTGGTAGCCCTAAATTAGAATGGGGGGGGACCTAATGTCCTCTACCCTGGCCCCCACCCCTGAGCGGTGGGTGGGGGTCCTAAATACTAATTAGGGGAGGAACCTAATGTCCTCCCCCCTGGCCCTACCCCTGAGTAGTGGGTGGGGGCCCTAAATACTAATTGGGGGGACCTAATGTCCCCCCCCCGAGCGGTGGGTGGGGGCCCTAAATACTAATTGGGGGGGACCTAATGTCCTCCCCCCTGGCACCCACCCCTGAGCGGTGGGTGGGGGCCCTAAATTAGAATGAGGGGGGAGGACCTAATGTCCTCCCCTCTGGCCCCCACCCCTGAGCGATGGGTGGGGGCCCTAAATAAAAAAAATAACCCATATGAAGATGGATTATAATTTTTTTGCACTCAGTTATTATGGCTTTTTATTTGGCCTTTTTATGGGGCTGAAAAAAGAAGATTTTAGAAGAAATAAAACATCAAATGGTAAGTTTTTTTTTTAGGTACTTAGTTAAAGGGTCCACCATCATTATTTGTAGGGTGAGGGAGGTATGTAGGGGTTAATTTTTTTGTGAAGGGGGGTGACTAGGGGTTTGGGGACCCCTAGTCACCCGGGGGAGGGGGGGTTATTTTTTTTATTTAGAGCCCCCACCCATCGCTCAGGGGTGGGAACCAGGGGAGAGGACATTAGGTCCCCCCCAATTAGTATCTAGGGTCCCCACCGACCACTTAGGGTTGGGGGCCAGGGGGGAGGACATTAGGTCCCACCAATTAGTATTTAGGGCCCCCACCCACCGCTCAGGCCCCCCCCACATTATTTTACTGAGCGGCGGGTGGGGGCCATAGGCCCCCCTTATTCTAATTTAGGGCCCCCACCCGCCGCCCAACCTTTTTTTATTTTATTTTTTAACAGTGAGCAGCCACTGGCTGCTCACTGTTTAATAGACATGCCCCTACTCGCGGTATAGCGAGTAGGGGCATGTCTTAGTAAATTTGGCTGAAAGACCAATTTAGGTCTTTCAGCCTTTTGGTAGATAACTCCCTAATACCTGTTAGAAGTTCCGAGGTACCGAAGTCCCGAAGTGCCGAAGTGGCCGAATTTCCGAAGTGTCGAAATTACTCACGCTGTTTTCGACCATATCAAATATCTTGGTTGATGGGCCCAATATATCTAATATCTTATCCTGGCAGTTGCGCAGGGAGAAATCTAGGCCTTTATTAGGCTTCCAACCTGTCTTGCTCAGGAATGGGATGATTTTTGGGTCCACTGCAGATGTTCTGCAGGCATTGTCTGGGATAGTGGGTCGTGGGCATTCTGCCCGGAGCTTATTAAGTGTCGCCTTGTTTAAAGGCTTGCAAATTCTTGATGCTATGTACTTGGCCACATGGGTTGAAGGGGACCATTCCGCTGACCTTGGATGACGCAGGTCATCGGGGTCGAACAGAGGTTCCCCATAGGGGTCTAAGTGTTTATTTACATCGTATGGGGCCTTAAGCTCCATGTCATACGAGTCATATTGAGGTGTATCGCGCTCTCTGGGATCATTGTCTTCGACCATGTCATCTGATTCGGGATCTAATGGATCTTCCGTATCCATGCAGGTCTCTTCTTCAATCTCGCTGAGATCCGACTCAGAGTCTAGTTGGGCTTTTGCCCTTTTCCACAGGCAGAGTGAACAAAGACACATGTCCCCCCTGCCACCCAAAATAAAGAAATAAAAAAAGAAAAAACAAACACCCCCCCAAACTACATCGTCTATTGCACCTTTATCAAGGACCTACACTTAATGTATTGATATCTGACAACTTCATATATTTGCAACATTGTATCATTGTCTTAGGGTACACAAATTTGACTGATTGTAATTAAGAGCATAAAAATATTTTCCACACGCATTAGATTTAATGATATTGATGCTAGCTGCAAATTGTAAAATCTGACTAGTCATCTTTTACTAATCCTCTTCAGTCCCTTATAGTGAGTCGCTCACATTCTGGGGAATTCTCAATATTAGCTGAGTGAAGCTACAAACTATATTCATTTATTTCATGTGTGCTCCTATTGCCTTTCTTCTTAGTTTGGGGTTTGATGACTTAGGGTTTTTTCACTAACCCTGGTAGGAGCTGGAGAACTTTTGCTGTGAGAAAATCTCCCTACTGATTAAATGTTCAATTGTGTTGGTGGGAATTTTGCATTTCTAATTTTTTTTTAAAAACGTACATATTTATTTTTATTAAAATGTACCCTGCTACATTGTCATACTAAAACAGCCTACTTACTGTGGGATATCACTAGGGCACTCCTTGCAACATAGCTACTACTGCGGACGTTAATAGTTATGTATCTCAGAATGTTTGTTTAATAAAATGTTATATCTCTACATACTTTATTTCTATAGCTTAACTATACTAAATTTTTACCAAACTAATTGAACCAGCTTTTCCTTATCCGATTAGCCAAGTGGTTAAATAACAAACTTTTATACGGTTAACTTAATTTCCATTTTTTCTCCATTTTCCAATAGGTCAACTTATTTGTTTAGCAGCAAAACCTACTTCAGTGTGTGGTCGAATGAAGGTGAAGCCCTGAAGGCAGTGGACACGTTTTCCAACGACATGAAAAATTTAGGGTGTCCAAGTTAAATGTATACATTCACAAATTTCGTACTCTCTTGTATACTTTAAGGAACCCATCGACTTTAAACAGAGATGTCTATGTGAAAATTATGTGGGTTATAATGGGAGTAATTAAGTTAACAATGTTCGCCCCATTTCGCAATACAAAATGTTTAATTTTGTATTGCGAAATGGGGCGAACATTGTTAACTTAATTACTCCCATTCAGTACATATTCTACAAACATTGATAGAATATTTAAAAGTAGACTTAGTAAAAGTGTTATCATTTTTTTTTTTAAATTCTTTATATTTGGGATTTGAATAATGTATTGGTAATACGGTGGAATTTGCAACAGATGCATAACATTGTCCTGTAACTATACATTAAGGTTTGCATAAAATTGAACGTAAATCGAGTGCATTGTTTTGTTTGTTTCACACACAGTTGCAGTTGGTACAGGCGTTTAGTGCCTTGCCATATATCAAGTTTTCAGTACCTGTACTTTCAGATGTTCGTCGTCGGAATTGACGGGTGGGTGTTGGTCTATAGGGCCAGGCATAAGAGACGGCTGTAACCAGACAAGTTGGTAACCAGACACAGGAACAGAGGGGTTGAGGGCCCTGCTCAATGAGCTTACATGCTAGAGGGAGTGGGGTAAAGTGACACAAAAGGTAAGGATAGTATTAGACTAATGACAGGAAGAGAGGAATCAGTCGGGAGCTATTAACAGTTTAATTGATACGCTTTTATGAAGAAGTGGGTTTTTAATGAATTTTTGAAGGAGTGGAGACTAGGTGAGCATCTAATGGAGGAGGGAAGGGAGTTCCAAAGGAACAGTGCATATCTCGAGAAGTCTTGGAGGTGGAAGAACGGACAGAAGATAGACATTTGATGATGGTGAATGGGTGGTGGTAGATGCCTGTCGTGTCTTTGGAGGGGAGGGATAACTGAAGAGGGGAGGGTGGGATATGGGGGAAAAGAGAGGGAGATGGCAAAAGAAAAAAGAAAAAAAAGGAGGGGAGGGGGAAGAAGGTCTCGTGATATAGGAGGTTGGTGGGGTTGACACCGGTGGGGTTGTTAATGGTGGGGTTGTTGCCGGATGGAGGTGGGAGGCAAGCAGTAGTTTTCTTTTTCCCAGCCAGCCCTGGCCGTTCATGTGGGTTGAGGGAACTTAAATAGCCACGGGTCCCGGATTTTGTTGAAGTGTGTTGCGGTGTCATGTACCAGATCAGATGGTTTATCCATCTTTCTGGCTTCCTCTATCTTGCGTATCACTGTTTGGAGGGTAGGTATATCAGGTCTGCCCCACGTATCTGCGATTGCTCTTCTTGTCGCCAGCGCGATCTTTGCTATAAGTTTGTTTTGGCAGCGGGGGGGTATTGTCGAGTGGTTTTGAAAGGAGCCAGATCCATGGGTCTAGTGGGACGTTTGTGTGTAGGATCTTGGATGTTAGTTGTGAGATTTAAAGCCATTGGTGGGTTATTTGTGCGCATTTCCACCATACATGGAGATGTGTGCCCTTTCCCCCACATTGTTTGCAGCACAGGTCGTTGCCTGAGATTCCCATTTGTCTGAGTCGGGGTGGAGTGAGATACCAGCGCATTAGCATTTTATATGCTTGTTTTTTGTGGTTTACGCATTTCAAAACTGTGGCTTTCCAGATTTCTCCCCAGTCTGAGGGATGGTCCGGTGGCCTTAGGTCCCTCTCCCAAGCCGACACGTATGTTAGGGAGCCCTCATAGTAAGATGTGAATACAGTGGAGAATAGTGTGGATATATGGCCTTTTTGGATCGGGCAGGCCATGCATGTTCGTTCAAAGGGGGTGAGGGTGGTAGTGGCTCCTGCTTTGTTTTTTGGCATGTCTAGGAAAGCTGCAAATTTGGATGTAATCGGAAGTGGTCAAAGGTGGTTAGCGTGGTGCATTTGGGGAGGTCCGGGAATGGAAGGAGTTTTTGGTTCTGGAAGAATTGGTGGAAATGGATGAGGTCATTGTTTTCGAATCTGGAGAAATGTTGGGGGGGTCATGCCTGGGATAAATTATGCGTTGTGTAGGACTGGTGTGATTGGGGAAGGGTTGGATGTCCATGGAGCACTTAGTTGTGATCTTGTTCCAGATTTTTATGGAGTTTAGGAGCGCAGGAGTGTTGATAGGCAGTCGTGGTCTGGCTGGTTCCAGGTCTACGCGATGTTTGATGCCATATGGGGCGTACAGGTGTTGTTCTTATGCTATTTGCGCTGCTTGGTTGTAATGTATATAGTGGGAGAGGCCCAAGCCTCCAGTTCTGTTTGGTATGTAGAACGTTGCCCTTTTGATTCTGACTTTCTTGTTAGCCCAGATAAATATATCTGTTTGGGTCTGCAGGTTTTTAAGCCAGTAGTGGATATTTGCACGGGTAGTGCCTGGAATAGGTAAAGGAACCTGGGGTGAAGGTTCACCTCTACAGATGCCATTCTTCCCATCCAGGAGATCGAGAGTCCCATCCATGTTTTGAGGAGCGTAGTTGAGCTGGTACATCTGTGATAGTTCTGTTAAGAAGCGAGTCCCAAGGTACCGTATATCTGTGTTTGTGAAGTCGAATGGGTATGCTTATTTTAGGTTTGTAAGTAAGTGCGCTGCATGGGGATCTGTAAAACCTTTTTCCCCATGTTTAACTTGTATCCTGAGAGTACTGCGTAGTCCTGCAGTGCTGTTAATAGTGGCGTTATGGAGTTGGTAAGAGCAGTTATGGTCAGCAGCAGGTCATCTGTGTAAGCTGCAGGTTTATTTTCTTTTGTGCGGATTGTGATTCTGGCTATGTTTTTGCGGTGTCTGAGTGCTTGTAGTAATAATTCTAGTGAGATAGCGAAAGATATGGGGGATAGTGGGCATCCTTGTCTTGTGCTGTTATGTATTTCAAACGAGGGTGGGTGTGTGAAAGGCAAGAGGAGGTTAGCCATAGGGCTGCCAGGAAGGGTTGTGGGAATCCGAATTTATGTAATGTTGCTAATAGGAATGGTCATAGTAGTCGGTCGAACACCTTTTCTGTGTTGAGCGATAGGATAAGTGTGGTGATTTTCCTGCCTGTTACTTCCCATATAAGGTCATAAGTGTGTCTGGTATTGTCACATGCTTGTCTATTGGGAATGAAACCTACCTGTTCAGGGTGGATCAGTTTGTGTAGTTAGGGATTCAGGCGGTCCGAGAGTATTTTAGTAAACAGTTTGATGTCAACATTTACTAGCGAGATAGGGTGATAATGACCTGGTTCTGTGTGTGTCTTATTCAGTTTCGGGAGTAGGCAGATGTTGGCCTGTAGCATTTCTTTACGTAGTGGGTCACTACGGTGTTGAACAGGTTACATAAGTGCGGGGTGAGTGTGGCTGTGAAGATTTTATAGTATAGGCCTCTGTACCCGTTTGGGCCTGGACTTTTGTTCGATTTGAGGGTTTTTGATGATCAGGGCTGCTATCTGTTCCATGGCAGAGTATATGGGGGTGGGTAGTCTGACTAATTTAAAGTATCTTTCCGTCATGTCGTTGAGGGTGTGCGGGAGGTGGCGCGCCTGTGGGTTGTGGTCATAGGAGTGAAAGACTTCTGCTATTTGCTCAGGGAGTTTTTTTGTTTGTTCATTTGGGTCTGTTATTTTGTAAATGTGTTTGTGAGTGATTCTTTGGCGCAGCTTATGTGCCACAAGGGTATCCGCTTTATTATATTTCTCGTGGAATAATTGCCTGGTTCACTGAAGGGCCCTGGCTGCGTCTGCCGCCATGAACTCCTTCAGCTCTGCCTGACATCTGGCACTTCCTGTTTGTAGGGCTGTGGTTGGGTTTCTTTTGAATTGGCGTTCTAAGGTTTCTCAGTTCTCTGAGTGTGTGTTCCAGTCTGTTGAGGTGTTGCTTTTTTGTGTGGAGGGCTAGGTTAATGATCATACCACGGAGCACCGATTTATGCGCCGCCCAGATCATTCTTTCAGAGTCCTTGTTTAGTGTGAAATATTCGGATATTGCCTTTTGGGTGGCCTCTTCTATGATCAGGTTGTGGAGTAGAGTGGGATTCAAGCGCCATGACCATTGTTTCATAGTATTAGG